ATTTGGTCAAGCTCCTCATGGTCACGCTTGCACGAATGGTCATTTTATTTGTAGTTGACCATATGGTCAAGCTCTTCATGGTCACGCTTGCACCAATGGTCATCTTATTTGTAGTTGACCATATGGTCAAGCTCTTCATGGTCACGCTCGTACCAATGGTCATCTCTTCTTATCTTAGTATTTCCTTCATGTCAACACATATGACCAACTCCACGGATTTTACCTTCTCCACCATCACCAAATATTACTCTTCCTTCTTTAACAGGTTCCATGATTGTTAAGAACTTCTCCTTTCCTGTCATATGCCTCGAGCAACCACTATCGAAGTACCATGGTATCTCAATAACAGTGTGTTCTTCTGTGGAGGTGAAGGCAACCTTGGCGAGACTCAAAGCTGGGACACTATCTTCTTCGAAATACTCCTCAATTACAACCATATTGCACACAACTTCTTTTCATGGTCTCTGTTGATAGACTTCTGTCTCAATCACCTTGGCAGCAGTTGGTGTTCTGTTTTTGAAGTTAGGATACAAATCTGTTTTGGCGATTCAAACATGTCCGATCCGGCTTGGTTCAATGAAACATTTGTGGAGTGACCATGCTCGTTGGTATTGAGTTTTTCGAAAGTAGTAGTATGCAACCCTATGTCCTTGTTTACCACAAAAGTGACATCCATTGCGCCTGTGTGGTACCTGTTTTTTCACCGTTGTCTCAGCTTTCTTCTGGGGTACAGCTTCTTTCTCTAGCTCAGTAGTTGTTCCTGATGCTCCACTTCTAACAAACCTTACATCCGTTACATCTTTGCTACTTGAGCCTCGATATCCTTGATAGCCTAAACCCAAGGCAATCTTTGGGTTTTGTCCATGTGAAAGAATGTGGTCCAAAGTATCTGATCCATTGTTGAGCATCCTCATCTTCTTGTAGTTGTCTCTCAATTCTCTTTGTACTAAGCGACTCTTCTCAAGCTCCTCACTCAGCAGCACCATAGCTTGATCATACTTGGTCTCTAAATTCTTCAAGGAATGGGCCTGATCCGTAACGGTTCTTTCAAGAAGTTGTATATCAGGACTCTTCTCACTTTCCAAGATACCAGCTGCAGTCTTTCCTTCAGTACTTGGTGTGTCAAGTTCTAGAATGTTGACTTGTTCCTTGAGCATTGATTTGTCTTTGATCAGCTGCAAATTTTCAAGACTTAGCTCTGTAAACTTGTCAAAGAGATTCTTGAACTCTGACTTCAGATCCAAGTCTTTCTTCTCGTCATCATTATCTGAATCTGAGTCTGAACTTGAAGATATATCTTGAGTGTCATATTGTTCCACACGAGCAACAAAGTTAAGCATTAATTCTTCATCATCACTCTCGCTTTATGATTCGGTATCACTGAAGGACAAGAGAGCTTTATCTTTCTTCAGATTGTTAGGACACTCACTCCTTGTATGTCCAAAACCCTTACACTCAATGCACTTAAGCTCTTTTCTTTTGGCTATAGGACACTCGCTCCGAAAGTGACCTAAACCTTCACATTCATGACATTTTAAGTCTTTCTTGCGATTTCCTCTTCCAGATTCACTTCTATTTTGCTGTCCAGGGGAACGATCCCCTTCTCTTCCTTGAAACCGGTTGTTATTACGATAGTTCCCCTTTTCAACTCTTTTGATCATCTTGTTGAAATTTTTAGCCATAAGACTCATGTTCTCTTCAATACGCTTCACTCTATCTTCTTCTTTGGTTTCTGCTGTGAAAGCAATTTCTTTATGTCCCTTAGTTGTCTCTTCACTTCGTTCCAAATCATGTACCTTCAGAATCCCAAACCAACTGATCAAACTTCATTTCGTCAGTATTCACAGCAATCTTAAGAACCGCCTTGTATGCTTCAAATCTAGGAGGGAGACATCGCAATACTTTCTTCACAAGTTTCTTCTCATTATACTTCTTACCCAAGGCAGAAGCTTCATTAGCTATAGAGCTGATTTAGGAAATGAAACTTCCTATTGATTCATCATCCTCCATTCTCAGGTTCTCAAACCTTGAGGCGAGATGATCAATTCTGGTCCTTCTTACACTTGTGTTTCCCTCAAAGTGATTGATAAGAGTATCCCATGCTTCTTTAGCAGATTCACATCCTTGAATGATCTTAAACTGATCAAGGTCAACAGCAGAAAAGATTGTAGTGAGTGCCTTTGAGTTGAATTTTGACGCATCTTTATCAGAGTCAGTCTATCTCTCCTTTGGCATAGGTGCTATAGACTTGTCTTCCATTACCATAGTAGGTGCGGTCTATCCTTTTTCAACAGCAGTCCAAGCATCCTCGTCAATAGCTCGTATGATATGCCACATCATTGCCTTCCAGTGTCCAAACTTTCCTTCATCGAGCATGATTGGCTTTTGCAAAGCCACGAGTTCTTTCATGGTTTCCATGACTGTCGCATGATCTCAACCTGTGAGTAGACGTGCAAGTCTACGGAGGTGACCCGCTCTGATACCAAATAAAATTTCGTACGGATACCATAATAGAACAACTTGAGAAAATCCAAGAAAACTAACTTGCTTTATTAAGAATCACTTAAACAATCTCACAAGATCTGTTTAATCCGGTTTACTCAACGTCACAGTTTGACTTGAGACGGACCAATTCTTAATCTACCCAATGCACAGTGGTCGAGACAGACCTCACCACTTGCTTACACAGAATTGCAGCTTAGAACACTGAAGCTCGATAATCCCAAAAATCTCAAAAGCCGTAACCTAGCTAATGAACTCTATCACCAATATATACTCACGTATCCTATTGTGATTAGCAAAGATTCTCTCAATATCTTCTTGTTTGTTGCCTAACAAACATCCTAGAATCTTGAGTCATTATCTTCCAAACAGCTCCCTTGTATTTCGTTCCATGTGTAATATACTCTCCACTTTGTGGGACACATCAGCCTTACGCTCAAACACACTTGAGTTCACTTGTGTGTAACACAGTCTCCTATCTGTGTGACACACCGATCGTCACGCTCAGAAACCTGAACTTACAAAAAATTTGAAATCTCACTAGATCAAATGAAAGAATGCTTATCCTTAAAAAAAAAACTATACAACAAATTTTTTATTACAACGTAAAGTAAATAATTTAATCAATTATTTCACTATGCATACGATGCGGAACACTATCTAGTGACATTATATTTTCAATTAATACATCCTTACAAAAGAATACAAGGTTCTTTTAATCAACATGCAGAGGATGAAGTCCGAGTGGTAAGGCAACACGAATTAGTAGGAATGTAATATAATAATGCATGGTCAAATGACTAATCTGATCTTTCGAGTTGATAATTTTACATTGAAACAAATATTCTTCGTTGAGAGCATCGAACTAAGACATATCGGAAATACTAAATGTTCGTCACTTGTCACCGTTTTAAAAAGTCATTTGATTTAATAAACCAAATATTTCCTTACAAAAGGGCAAATGTCTTTTTTTTTATAAATAGATTGATCAGAACTTTTGTATGCATATTGTCAGATCTCATCAGGCAATTGAAAACTCTGCGTACCAAAAATTTGAAGAGATGGGTTCTGAAGAAAAACAGCGACTCCACATTTAGCACTATTGAATCCATCCCACACCGTGAAATGAGCCGTCCCGGAGACCGTTTTCTTGGCCGTTAAATCTTTAACGGTGCATAACTTTTCTAGCTTTCTTACAACGTAGTCATTGGACAAGACTCTTCCCGAATTCTCTCCTCGAGGGCAATCAGTCACTAGTCCGTTCTCGTATAACGCCACCATTATATCGATCCCGTTCGAGTCTACTTTCATCCTCAAAGCTCCTGTTAGAGATACTTGAAGTGTTTCTGAGGTTGGTCTTTGGAATGTTGCCTGTTATATAAGAGAAACCAATCACAATTTCACTGATCTGGATCACACTAATATATATATAGTTAAATGCACACCTTACAAGTTTAGTGTGTTGAATGATATAAACTGATTCTATTGTTACGTCATACAAAACATGTTCAACTACTAGCTTCTCTATGATCCTGATCGACGAAGCCTATCTTAAACCAATAATACGAAAGTCGGATCACAATTAAATTCGTATTCCTGGTGGAGACATACAAAAAAGTACCTTAAATACAAAATGTAATGCTTTATGTTATGCAATGCTACAAGCACACATCGATACCATTAACATTCATGTGTGATATAATCAAAACTTCTCCATGAATGCTTTAAAGAAAACAAGGACAACAGGATTTGTATACACAAACTCTATAGACACTAATATTCTAATCCAAATTCGATTCAATATATAGATAGTCCAAGTATGATATCTATGCCATCAACATCAACAAAATACAAAACAAAACATTTCTTAACAATTTTGTAAAAGAATAAATAGAATGGATATATTCCATTTTTGTACTACATTCCATTCATCTTATTCTATTCCATTTATTCTTTTTTATTTTATTTACCAGTTACAGTTAGGGGTAGACACTTTATCCGATACCCGAACTCGTACCCAAACCCGACCCGAAATATCCGAACCGTAATTTAAACTGAAGTACCAAAATATCCGAACGGGTATTGAGTTAGGAGAGTTTGGATATCCGAACTCGAATAGATAACCGAACATATGTATATATACCTATTTATTCCTAATTTATTTGTCTCATTTTTAAAAAATATTTATATTAATGTTATATATAATTTAAGATCAGATAATATACATATATTTGTAAAAAAAATAAAAAAAATTGTTACTCATTTAAAATGCATATTAAGCTTCTTATTTCCTATTTTAAACAAAATTTGCATCCAAAATTCAAAAATAATAACCAAAATAATGATTTTTATTTTCAATAATTTATTTTCAAACTTATTAATCGTCTAACTTATAAAACATTTTAAAAACAGTTAAGTTAATAGTTAAATTGTAAATACATGAAACTTAAGTAATAAAGAATTTGAAAATTTCTTTCAAAATCTAAATATCCGAACCCGATCAGAAATAACCGAACCCGAACTAAAAATATCTGAATCCGACCCGATATGTAAAAGTACCCGAACGGGTTCTATACCCCAATACCGAAATACCCGAAAACCCGAAATACCTACCCGAACCCGAATAGGTACCCGAACGCCCACCCTTAGTTACAGCCATAAAGTATTTTCCGGATTTGAAATTTAAGAGTCACAAACACTTTTAAGTTAAATCTTAACAAAAGAAAATTTCGACAATTTAAGGACTACGCAACCTATGTACAATATCTATTTAAAATTTCAGTAATAAAGAAAATGTTTCATCTCACAGCCGGCAGCATCGACTTATCGATTAATCAAACATGGGAATGTTAAGAAATTACTCACCTGAAACGCCGGAGAAGGAAACCTAGGCGCTTCGACGATAGACTTAAGCAGAGTCTCCTCCTCATTGCCTAGGAACTGGACGCGGCCTTGAACCACAAACTGAGGAGTGAACATCGTATCTTGATTCAACGCCTCGATGTAAGCCTTCTGCCTCACCGTCCATTGGCTCGATCCATACGGATCCTTCCACCCCAAGTAATCCCAATAATCAACGTGGAAAACAAGTACCATCGCCGGAGAACCAGATCCACCTTCACGACGAATCTGACCGTTAAAATCTCCACGGCCAAGGCGGGACACGAGCATCTCTGCCTCAGGAGAAGTCTTACATCCTTGAGATGAGAAGAGCTGAACGAGAACAGGTCCGTCACCGGCGGGAACATCCGCAGCTGCGACGGCAGCGTTGTGTCCTGAGATGCCTTTTGCGGTGGTGGAAGTTGAGGATCCTTTGACGCCGAAACAGGATAAAAGACGCGGCGCCATCGGAGGAAGAGCCGTCGTCCTCTTCAACAAAAGGGAGAGACAAGTCAAAAAAGATTAGAAATGTTTCCCCAAGAAAATGTTAGAATGTTCGGAGAAGACAATGAAATGATATTACAGGCTAGAGGTGAAGAGACAAAGGCGGCAACAAGTGTCTTTAGCTAATTGTTTTCTATTTATTTTAATAAAGATAAATTATCTTAGGTCGTTTGGTGGCAAAAGCTGTAAAGTTTTAGGTTTTCTGTCCTTTGGGGAATTTGTTAATTGCTTTGAAAGCAAGGAAGTGTTGGGTGACACGTCCCACGTGAATCTATGACAGGTCAGCGAATCTTTCAGCTAACTCTCTTTTCCACCGCTTAGTTAACCGAACCGGTAAGTCTACATCTCGGTACTCTACAGAGCTAAACCAGCGATCTAAGCTATTTATCATGTTGTAATAGGGCCAGCCCATACGATGAAGAGAACATCGTTGTGCAGGCCCATCATTTTCTTGAAAACAAGTAGGTCTTATTTTTTAGAAAAAAATAATATAATTTCTCTATTTGACATATCCTCCATTATTTTTGATTTATTTTAATGTTTCAAAACTAAATATCATTTTTAAGGATAAAATTATATTGGATTTTTATTAGGGAATATATTTTTCTTGAACAAATTCTCAAAAGATATGTATATGATGTGTGTTACAGAATTTTATACATATTAATAAATTCTGATATTTTGACATGTTTATAATATCAATTTTATGTATTAAATTTTTTAGTTTCAAATATTTTAACTTAATAAAATTTCACTATTTCAAAATGAAAGGTAGATAGTTTTTAGCTTAGTGTTGTATCGACAAACCCCGAACGGTAAAACAATAATATTCTCAAAAATTATATAAAAGTTATAGTGGATACGTTTTTGAGAAGTAGATGTAGAAAGTGTTTAGACCATCTCAAGTTTGAGTAATAGAATACCTTTTGATGAAAAAAAGAAAGAAAAAAACATTTTCATTATTTTGTGTTTACTTTTGAGAAAGAAATGAATGAGTGGAACCTCCTAGGTCTGGGCAATTGGGGGACCAATCGGTTATCGGTTTGGTTCCAATCGGGTGTCGGATTTTTGGTTCTAAAAAAACAGATCCATTCGGATATTTTAAAAACTCGGGTCGATCTCGGTTCGGGTTATAGTGGGGTTTGGTTGTGTTTTGGTAACACCACAAAGTTACGTCTACATCCGTTATGCATTCGGATGTCGTTTTTTGATCGGGTGTCGGGTCTGAAACTAGCAAAAATATCCGAAGTTGGACTTAACCTGTTATGCATTCTTGACATGTTTTAATCGCCATGCCCATGTACAGAGAGCAACTTGACCTGTTATGCATTCTTGATAATCGACACAAATTTTCCATGAACCATAATTTTTCTTCACTAGAACCACTGGAGATGCGTAAGGGCTGGAACTGTATTGAATGATTCCTTGAGAAAGCATATCTTGGACCATCTTTTCAGTCGGGTGTTTCAATAATGAGGATTACCAATAGGGATGAAAGTTTACAGGGTTTGATTCTGCTTCGAGAGGAATCTTAGGGTTGAAGCCTTCACGGTATGGAGGTAGAGAAGATGTCTGCATAAGAGTCAAGAAAGCGTTGTAATGAACCATATTCATCTATTTTTGTGTTACTTGATTCAATATGGTAAAGGATTGTGGCATGGTTAAGAGGTTGTTGTGGCAAAACAATGTCACGTAAGTGAAATATAGTGATTTGTGGTTCTTGCAACATAAGTTTGTTTAAACTAGTTCCCAAAATCACTTTAGAAACGTTTGGAGTAATTCCACGAAGAAGCCATGGAAAGTGAACTCCATACAAAGATTGAGGAAGTCCCAAAGAATAAGTCCTAGTGTTGAAAGTCATTGCATGCCAAGTACCAAAATCACTGACTCCTAACAAAAAATTTCTGAACTCAGCAACAAAATTGTATCTGTGCATCTTCCAAGTAAAATTACTTCACTTGTATTTTGTGATCAGGTCGCCACTCGGTGCAACTACTGGCATTGGTTTTATAGAGCTTAGTGGCCATCCCAAACCTTTAGCCATTTGAAGATCGAGAAAGTTATGTGTGCTTTCTGAATCTATTAGTATATGTAACTTCTTCTTCCCGTATTTTTCAAAGAGGTGCATGCAAATATATGTAGAAGAGCCATCAAGTGCATGCATCGAAATGGTAGGTATTTTATCATCTTGATCGCCAGTTAGCATCTCATGTTCTTGTTCTTCAGTCGCATCTTCCTCACGGAGGTCTGATGTATCAGCTTCCAGAAGTTAGAACTCAGCACGCTTATGTTTTAGCTGATGATCTGGTGTAAAAGGTTCCTCACAAAATATGCATAAGCCCTTGCGTTTTCGTTCTTGCATCTCCTAAAAAAAAAAATCTCTTTTCTGCGGTGTGTTGGGGATGAGCGGTTTGTTGTTCTGGATATTAGTCGCTGTTTTGTACTGGTTCTTTGATGATGGTGAAAATCTTGGTCTTTTAGAGGAATAGAAAGCAGTACGAAGAGGCCTTGTCAGAGTATGTAAAAAAGATAACTCATGAAGTTTTGCTATTTTGTTGTCTCTGGAACAGAGTTAACGTTGAAATTAACGTACATGGAGAGCTAGATGTTGGTTCATGTTTGTCAAGAATATACCCAGAGCATGACCTTGAGCAAGCGTAATTCTGTTCATAGCACAATCGAACTTCTCTAGATAAACCTAAATAGTGTTGTTTCCTTGGTTTAGGCTGACTAAGTCGGATAAGGGATCATTGTATAGTTCGCCAAAACGTGCTGATACTGTTGCAACATATTCCTACCAAAGTGGAAAGATGTTGTAACGGTTCGCGATATAGGCGTGATGCCATTGTAGAGCTTTGTTTGACATATGAAGCGAAGCAAGGCGGACTTTCAACTCGGGTGGTGTGCTGTCAATGGAAAAAAATTATTCACGGTGATATATCCATTTCTATGAGCACTGAACCATCAAACATTGGAAACCCAATCTTAGTTAAACGTGAAGCTAATCCATTAGGGAGAGTAGGTTTGGTGTTCTAATCAATGTTGATTAGAGCTGTTTTTCTTGTGATGTGTTCCAATGAATTATTTGGTAGTTCTCTTGATGGAGAAGTTCCAGCATTGGTGATAGTGGGAGAGGAGTGGCTTTGACTTACCTCTTGTTGATTAGGCAAAGGTGATGGGGTGTTAGTGAAGTAGTTTTCCATCATGTGTTTGAGATCAGCTATCTCTCCGCCTAGTTCTTTTCGGATCTCCTCCGTTTGCTAAATTTGCAAACATTGCAGTTCCTCGATTTGCTTATTCATCTCGCTTAAGGTGGTGTTTTGTCTGGTGTCTATAATTCGGTCCTCAGGAGTTTATAGCTCTGATACCACTATGAAGGGAAACATGGTTGATAAGTATATAACTTCTCAAACTAGAAATCCTTCTGCAGATTCTAAGTAAGGGGATCCACAGACCTAGAAGATGATCGTAAGGATAGAAAGATCACCTCGAAAAACTAAGCTTGGTTTGCTTTCTATGGAATTCATGCTAGATAGTTCAGAGAGATATGGGTTGAAAAAGTGATGTTATTATTGATAAAGACTCATCAGCCGTAAGGTTTACATATATAAAAAAACTCATCTAAGAGATAAAGATAAATAAGATCCAAATCCTAATATGAAAAGAAATCGTAAAACTAACTTGATAATGATAAATTTAAAACATTTACGAAAGACTATGTGACAGTGTCGTATCACACTAGTACACTACAATTCATGTTCAATTTCTAATTTGTATCATGTTTAATTTCTTATTCGTAACCCTTTTTCTCTTCTAATCTATTTATTGTTGTTTTCTCTTTTGGATTTATAGATATAGAAAAAAGCTACACACCCGTGAGAAAGAAAACCGTAAACAAAACAAGTCAATAATTTGAATATTTTCAAATTGCATTATATCAATTTTTGATTTGCTAGAAATGTTTATCTTGTGTGGTGGTGATAATTCAAGGAATGAGAGTAAGAGAGAGATACTTATCTTAAAACACACAGACAAGGTTTTCAAATTTCAAAACGTGCAACAAGAAAGAAAAAAAACTGATGATAATTAGAAGGCAACAAATGGAGTTTAACGTAACTCATATGAGGTCATAGGGGAAACTAAGAAGACTCATCTACTGTCTAAGATAAAGATAATCTGATTAGGTTGGTCTTCTTATTTTTTTCTTATTAATTTATGTGTTGACTTTTTTTATTTATGGGTTTATTTTTGGGAATTATACTAATATAGAACAAAAAAAATATGCCTCATGTTCCATTAGTATAAACCAACATCAATCTTGTCGTTATAGTATAAATTTTTC